TGTTGGGTTTTCAGCGCTGATAGCTTTTGAAGCGTTTCAAGTTTTTTATTGATATAAAAACAGCGCTCTCGAGAAATATCATGAAAGCTAAAAAGGTACCTTCCATTTTCATTTGTTATTTTTCATAAATATTATCTCTTCCCTTCATCATCGCCGGGGATTTGAGTTCACTCCTCGGTTGAATATTCTAGGTAGGTGCCTGGTGCAGTGAAAATGGAAGCTCTTTTCCTTCATTTAGACTTATTGTTAGATTTATTTGTACCCCTCCGTTTCCATCTCCCTAACTGCAGTATCGTTCAGTCTTTAAATACAATAAACTGAAAAGTTTTCGTTTCGGTTAAAAGCGCTCCTTGAAGCATCATCGCAGAAAAGAAAATTATGTTATAAAACCTTGATCTATTAATCACATCTTCAATTCATTAAGCTTTGATAGACCACATCTAGATTTTAAAAGATAGAATTGTGTCAGTAATAATTGACGATATTTCGAAATCAGAGGCTTCAGCTTGCAACTGAGCAAAGTAGATCTGAAGTTCCATACTATCATGAGGCTCAAGATATAAAAAAAAATAACTTCATTACCCTTGCAAACACTATCTCGAGTCATCAATGACAAAACATTGCATATGACTCGAGCACTAAGCCTGAGACGGTGCGGTGTTTCTTTTTGCAAGGATGACAAAACGAGTCAAGAGCAAAGGTCCTCCTGTATTTGAGGGAGTCTCACATAATAACAAACTCATCCAGGGGTAAGATAACCATACATGCCTGGGAATGAATGAGCTGATAATGTTATTTTTAAATAAGTAAACTTAGAATCGCTCATTCAGACCGTTTGCCGAATTGCAGAATGAGAAGCGGGGGTAATGTAAAAGGAGAGAGGGAAGAGAGAAAAAGAAAAATCCCGCCGCTCAGAAAGAACCTCCACGCAGATCGGGTCAGAATAAAATAAAAAATAATGAATGAAACCATGATTCGAACAAATGATGGGAAATAGGTCGAACAGGTATACGCCAGGGCGTGGAGTTGTTGCCAAATGATGTAAAAATACGTAATTTCAGCGAAGGAGAAAGTAAATATTCCATCGGTCTAATGGCAACAATGAAGTTGTTGAGCTACGACATGAACAAAATAAGCAAACATGATTTTGAGTGCCTCTGGCTTTCGCCAACAGAATAAAAGGACCAGAAAAACATGAGGAAAAAACCAAACAAGGGTAAGAAGAAAAAGAATAGATTCTTCAAAGAACAGAGGAAACTGAATGGTCCGTCTGTATACTTGATAGTAAACTTATAACCCTTAGGCATCGTCCTTCGTCATTTGAAACATTACTGATAACTGCAATGACGCAGGGTGGCCATTCCGGGGAATAATTAGGACACACATGCATAAGCGAATGCTTAATTGCGCCTTTCGTGAGAATCATATTGGGCAAAGCGGTAGTTAGGAAGAACGTTTTTTCTATTATGTACACGGTATTTCAAGGGATATTCCCCCAAAAATTGCACAAAAAAAGTATTCACGTAAGCTCTCTAGCCCCTCAAATAATGTTCACATTTTTTCATATGTTCATAATGTTCACCATTTTCCCGAAATTCGTTTGTCGAATTTTTAATTTCTTTCTATCTTTAAAAATAGGTTTTGTCGTTATAATTAGAGGAATACTGTACTCATTAAAAGAGGAGGGATTTGTTTTTGCAAGGTAGAATAAAAAGACCGATGAAGCGTCCGGGTCACGGTGCATCAGCCGATCGACGTGGCACGACCCAGGAACGCAGACGCAACTTGAGCGAGACACTACGTGAGGATGCAACTATTCGTACTCGATGGATGTCTACATTGCATACCCAGGAGTTTGAAGGCGAACAAGCTGTCATAGCCTATCCCACTGACCGATGAAAACAACTGCGCGTCGCAGTAATCCAACGCTAGCTTTTTGAATTGAATCAGTTTATGGTAACATTGCGTAAGTCTACAAAATCAACTGATTGCATCGACTGCACCATGATAAAAAAGTTCTGCATGGAAAAACACGAAAATTGGCCCAGTACAATCGTAGAACGAACCGTGACGAAACTAAAAATTTAGGAGTTCAGAAAGCTTAGTAATGATGCCTTTACAGCCGGTTGAGAGTCAACGATGGCTGGTAGTGTTTTGTCAAGGGTTTACACAAAAGGTATGTAATCTGTGATACAATTTGCAAAAAAAGCGAACACAAGGCATGAACGCTATTTTGACGAACAAATACTAATTTCCTAACGATGTCGCTTTGAAGAAAATTGGAGGCAAGTTGAAATTTTGTAAAAATAGTTGAAAATGAATCAGCCCTCAATAAACATAAAAAGGTTTTTTTTTCACCAAAGGCATCAAAAGTAGTTGGAAAAATCATGATAATCGGCTCTGGAGCAGTGATGAAGAATACGGAGTTTGCATAAACAGAGGCACATTCTGCGGCACAGCAAAAGATTTTCGTTTCAACCGAGTACGTCTATCTATCCAAGACACGTGGAGAAAAACGTCGTGAATCATGGCTGCTAAGACGAAAATGTGCGCGGAAAAAAGGGAAGAATTCCCGCGACACAGATAAAATGAGGAGGCGTTTACGCTTGCTGCTTACACGAAAGTTCAAAGAGAGGCGAATCAAAATGAAACACGGGCGAGAAGCAAGATGGAGGGTCGGGGGTGGGCGGGAGGGGAGAAGCGAGGAATAATATTAGTCAGCAAGAAGTTTGGGCGAGCAGAAAAAGGACGCGCACTGCACGGAGACGAGGATTTTCTGCAAAGTCTTGAAAAAAATCAAAATGTTTATGTACAAAAATCACGGGCGTTCAAAGGCTCCTTTGAGACGGAAGCCGTTCAAGTGCTCAACGCTCACTCGCGGGGAACCATTATTGCCAAACTTTGGTGTGGAAAATAAATATTGACGCAACCTTATCTAAAATGGGACGAATTATAGCAAGAGTGCGCACATATCGAAATATGGAGCTTTTAGCGCCCAAAAAGACAGCCAACTTCGTGACACAAAAAAGTCACTGCCGAACTCCAGATTCCAATATCAAACCAAAATGGCCAGAAATATTTATAAAATGGTAAAATGATTGAAAATATAATCGAGCTACAAGCCAAAAATAAACTAAACAAATAATATTTCAAACTACGTAGAGATCAGAAATAATAAAAAACTCACAAGAGCCAAAACGAAACAAACGTTTCGACCGCCAACAACTTCTTTATTATTTCTCATCTCTGGGTAGGCTGAAATATTATTTGTTTAATATATAACTCCCCAGGTATTTTTATTGCTCCTCTTGGAAAACGATAATTTTGATTGTGGACCCTGACTATAGGAGAATCAATTTAACTTCATTCCTTTGTCAACTGTATGTGTTTTGTAGCCCAACGTTATGCTTTGTTGAATAAAAGTTTTAAAAAAAATGTGTTTAATTTATTTTTGGCTTGTAGCTAGATTGTTTTTTCAATCATTTTACCGTGTTCTATGAAAGCCAGTCAAATTGGCATTAAAATTTAATATTCATAAATGAGCGTTCTTCTCAACGGGAGCCACGCACAGTGGATCGAGTCAATTAGAGCTAGACGTCGGACATAAAAATTTTGACTAAAACTGCAAATTTTGATGTTTGTTTCGTCACATTTTAAAGTTCAAGGGGCGCCTCTGAAACACAATTTTACGAGGAAACCAATTAAACCACTTTTAGAACATCCAATTTTTGTATAAATGGAGTTATGAGCGTTTAAAGTTTCCAAATTTTGTTCGAACTCTGCTGTTGACTCGATCCACTGTGCCACCCACGGAGCGGGCCACGTTTCTTAGTGTTTTTTTCTTGCTTGCGTACAGCTTGAGCTTATGCTTTTTCTGTTTTAAAGTCGACTTTAGAGGTTAGGTTTCGCAACTTTCAATCACCCGTCACCATGCCTTAAACCTTGAAGATCAGGAAAATAATGTTGCTACAAGTTTTACTTGGGGCACTCTTCCTCACCCTCAAAATGATTTTGCTCTTCAAGTTGCAACTACGGTTCTGTTGCGTTGCACTCAAGCGAGGAGGAATGCGGGCCTTCCGACAGTACTACCGTGCTAAGGAAAAACGCCGTATGAAAATTCGAGAGTTGCCAAATTCCCCTGGATAGAACATGTATTTTCGACAACATTCATGCATATTTTTCTTGGAAATTTTCAGATATTTTAGATTAAATTGCGTACAAAATTGTCTGAAAATTTTGGAAAACAATATTCGCAGTTTTCCCCGGTAAATTCGGTTTTTATCGAAGGAAATTTGGCAACGCCTAAAGGTTCATACGGCGTTCTTCCTTAGTACGGCAGAGCAGCTCAGCTCTTCCTGGACGAAGTGCTCGTTGAAAAAGCGTCCGATTTGTTTGACTTCTAAAATAAATTAAATGAAGGAGTTGTGACGCTCGCTACTGGGTGCACTTTGAAAGCACAGTATTAAACTATTTGAAGCGTGTCTGCAAGGGAAATAAATCAAGAAGTTCAAGTTGCTAAGTTTTTTCATTTTGACACTTTTCTCTAAGAGCCAGTGCTTTCGATGTTGGTTACTGTAATTCAAACGTGTAAAGAAGAAACTAGTAGAAATCGCCGTAACATTTTCCTGTGAGGGAGGAGGTGGCTAAGCACACGAACATGTTTTTCGGGTAACATTCCGAGTAGATCCTCAAAACACACGAGGCTGTAATATTCTTATCATCAAAATTACAATAATTGATATTCTTTCTCTGTATAACTAGATGAGATAAATATTGAGGACGTGCATGGGCTGGATGAATAATTGTTATAGACTGAAATATAATACATGTGGAGATATGTATGTGGTCGCAGAGCTATTCTTCATAAAAATAATTTTTCAAAGCAGAGGATTTAAAATGAATCTAAGGAGGGAATCAATAAAATTCCTTTTTTTCCCTTATTTTAATACGTAGGAAAATATAAAATTTAAAAAATGGAAGAGGAATGAAAAAATCACTGATTACATGAAAATCATAATACTTTTTATTCATGCTTGAGGGACACGAAAATCACAGAATAGCTTGACTTAAGAACAATTGACTGGATTCGAGTAAAGAATATGTGAGTGTAGTATTGAACATCTTGAAATATTGAAACTTCAAATCGCGATCGAATGACAAATCAAACTAGGAGCCACAGTTCTTTTCCGCTTCTTCCAAACATGTTGCTAACAGTTTTTCTAATTGCTCCTTCTCCAAGAATTTTCCTACGGAGAAAATCAGAGAAAAATAGTAACACATACCTAGAATTAAACCTAGTTATTCTGAAAAAAAAAAATAATTATTGGATATTTTGTCGGAAAGTTTTTATACTTCAAAATAAATCTTTGCTAAACATTTATTTTGAAGCATAAGCAGTGTAAAAGGATGAGGCAATGTTAAGTTTCGAGACCCATATACGATATTTTTCGCCAGATGATACTTAATGAGTTTCTTGATGAGTGTTCACCTGCATATGTATAATTCGCTTGAGGTGACAGAAAAATGACCCGTTTGTATGGGAAGGATTCTACTCCCATAGAGATTGTGTTTGAATTCATTTGAAAGTGCACAAAGTGACAAAAATAACCATCATTATATTATATTTACTTTCTTCAATCAACATCTTCAAAAAAACGATATTTACTTTCTTTAATCATCATCTTCAACAATGAGAAACTGAACTTCAATATCAGCCCTTCATAAATCGACCTCTTCTGAACACAGCAGATTCGAGAAGCAAATGTTAGATTGGCAAGGTTTGCACCACCGAAAACCAATCGCATAGATCTGCGAAAAATAAGTATGAATAATAATTTTTTCCCCCACGGCGAGTGAAGTCTTTGGAGGCGTCAGTAAATACACACAATGTACGAAGTAAGCCTTGTAAGCGTGGAACTTGTTTCCAGGCTGATATGATTTCCTGCAAAAAGAACTACTGAATACGATAATTGCTTCGGGTTTTCGGTTTTACCTCGTGGCTGAAGCTGTATAAGAAATCCTAAAACGTCAATGCTACGTACGTAAGACGTAGTACCCAACTGATTTTTCTCATCCTCCTCCATCCATCCGCTTTAACTACGGGTAAATAATATTTGCTATCGATATGATTTCCTGCAAAAAGAACTACTGAATACGATGATTGCTTTGGGTTTTCAGTTTTACCTCGTGGCTGAAGCTGTATAAGAAATCCTAAAACGTCAATGCTACGTACGTAAGACGTAGTACCCTACTGATTTTTCCCATCCTCCTCCATCCATCCGTTTTAATTACGAGTAAACAATATACTTACCGATTAAAATAAGGCGACATGCGACGTTCGAGCTTTCCGCATCCACGTTGACGGGCGTCCAATCGTAGACGTCATAGACGGCTTGTATCAAGTACCATCCGTCCTCATCCGACGGCCGCACGACGCCCTGAAAAATAACACAGAAACAGTGGCGTGGCGTGCTTTGCGATACATCGATTGATCGACCATTTAAACCTATGGGAAAGTATCGATAAACAGAGTGTTCGCGGCGAATACCTTAAAAATCGATTCCTTACCATAGATTTAAATGGCAGAACAATCGATATATCGCAAAGCACGCCACGTCACTGACAGACGAGTCGTCGAGTGAGTCACGCTTTTCTTTCGCACCACCGTTTTAGACAAGTACATCGAATTTTGATTCGAAATCGATGCGCGTGACGTAAGTATATCTACACGTAAAAAGCGGCTCTGCGATCCAACAACACTGATCGAGAAACTTTCCGTCTCGACGTTATAGGACAACCGGAAGAACGTGACGTCGTGACGCACACTTTCTCGGTCCTCTGACGTCAAATCGACCTACATTTTTACACCACTTCTGAAATGACAGTATTGTGTTCTTGTGTTCTTGGAGATAAACAGTATTCATAGAGAAAAAAGGAGGTTTTAGCATCTTGAGGATTGTGTACCCTGTGACGTAGGTCGGTACAACCTGGTTAGCAAAATCCGGAATTAGAAATATGAAAAACGGACCAAAACGTCAGATTTTTTTGCTTAAATCTACTCATGATATGATTTCAAATATATAATATAGAATGACTGTTCTCCATCAACTACACCATGTCCAAGAAAATCGATGATAAAAGTCGCCGTACCGACCTACGTCATCAAAAAAAGTACAATATGCCCGAAATGCAAACACCTCCTTTTTTTCTCTATAGACAGTATTAATTGACTCGTGGATCGGATCAGATCGTAGCTCCTCTGACGTAACAGCGTCTTACTATTTCCACGTGAGCTCTAGGAATCATTATGAAGAAGCATGTATTGTGGCGCTTTATTTCATAATTTTAACAAGATGGAGAAATGGTGCTGGGTCTACACCATTTCACGGGGAAACAAAGCCAAGAAATACCAAAAATTAAAATTAGAGTCAAAATTAAATTTTTTAGAACTCTAATGCGCACCAGTATGAAACTGAGGGGGGGAGAGTGTTCAGCTCAGGCAGTTTGCAATGGAATATTAAGTTGGAGTCACGCCGAGAGATCTTTACCGGTTTGGGCCTTATTAGACCTCATCAGAAGATCACACTCAGCAGTGAACCCAACTTAACATGCCGCAAAATCCAATTTCTAATCTATTTCATAATCATTTCGTGCATTGTATTTCGTTCCACGGTAAGTTTAAGAAGTCTCAACTTACAAGATTTTACAAAGTAAAAATTGACGAAAAATAGTCACGTTAGTAATTTTTGAGACTAAGACGAGACATGGAAAACAGACGTGAGAAATGTTGATGAAGATGCAAGTATTGTGGCGCTTTATTTCATGATCTTGTAGTCCACTGCATTTCGTTGCACTGTAACTTAAGGGAGCCTTAACTTACAAGTTTTTATAGTGTAAAAATCGACGAAAAATAATTACATAAATTGAATCAGGACGTGCGAAAACCGCTGATGTCCATTTTCCAGTCTTCAGTTTTTTTTTTTTTAGTTAATAATAGTTTTAAAGAGTTGATACAACCATAAAAGTGACGAAAAGACTCGTTTTGGGACTAAAATAACCCGGTAACGAGTATTAACATCATTTTCGTGGTTGCATCCAACTCTGAAAAGTATTATAAATTAAAAAAACTGAAGACTGAAAATATGGACATTAGTGGTTTTCGCACGTTCCGATTCATTATTTTTGAGACAAAGCGGGGCAAAACGGGGAAAAAACTCCCTTGGCTTAGGTCCTCAGGTTCGTCGATGTTGATTTATAGGTAGATGGAGCTAATCAACAGCCCACGACACACCTCGTAAGCACTGTATACAGTGAAGTGGTGTGTCGAACAAAAGTTGCCCTCAGCGGAGACAGCATCCCCCAACCAAGGGCGACACAGGGAAGAAGGAACTTGGAGGGATGGAATAAATGGGTCAGGCTGGGGACAAAGCCCGCACTTATCCAGTAATTTGTAAAGGTTCTGGTTTCCCGGCCACAAAACAAGTGATGTTCGATGCCCGATGCCGATAAGTGGCCGTCGATTGTCGATTGCGGAGCATCTACGATGAGTGGTGATCGCACTGCGTTTAATTCTGAGGACCTACGTCTACTTCCGCGTTGCCAACTTGGGGAAAATTCTAAACGAGTAAGCTTGACAACAAAGGGACCGTCCCTAAATTAGGTGACGCTAAATTTGCGGTTTTTTGACGGCCGATCCAAATTTTGCAAAGGTTCGCAAAACTAAACCGATGGTTGGTGCCGATCTGAGTGGAGTCCGCTCCACCCCAAAATAAGTTTACGCACTCTCAAACAGGGTGGCAAAATTTCATAATAAACACTGGAAAAAAAACACATTGGATCGAGAGTCCAGACTCTTAAAAACATCGACAAGAAGAAGTACTCTTGATTCAATCAGAATCTAGCTTAAATCAAGAACCAAGCCTCTTAATTTAAACGGATTTCGTTTTGATTCCAGCAAAAATCCGATTTAATTAAGAGTATTTTTTCTTGTCAATGTTTTCAAGAGTCTGGGCTCTAGATCCAATGTATTTTTTTTCCAGTGAATACAATCTTGAAATTCGTGTAATATTTCATGAAATTTCAGAAATTTATATGAAGTATATTGAAAAATACCGGTTCCTTTTCATTTTTCACAAAATATAAAAATTGTGAATTCCCCTATTTTTGTGTGTTTGAGTGCGGGTTGCATACTCTAGCCCCTGAAAAATGTGAAATATTTTACAGCCTCGTCAAATTTCATGAAATATTTCACTGAAATTTCCAATTTTTCATTTCTTTCTTATGTTTCATGCCACCCTGCTCTTAGACCGCTACAGAAGATCGTCTGATGTCATTTAAGCGTGGAAAAGTAGATGCAAGAATCAAAATGGTGGATCTTCAGTCGCAGTCTAAAAGTGCGTAAACTTATTTAACGTGAACTCTATAAACTTTTTCTCGAGTACGTTTTTCTGCCTTCTTCACATCTAGGCTCGGCATGATATAAGTACGTTCTTCTGCCTTCTTCACATACGGGCTCGGCATGATATATCAGCCTATCTCCAACGAGCCAACAGAATATTTTATTTCAGGGATATCACCGGCTGACACACGACTAGTCCTCAAAGTATAAGCAATAAATGAGTAAAATAATTTATAATGAAATAGAAGCAGACAAAAACTCACAAGTATTTGTGCAATCTGACAACTAGGATTTATGATATAAAGGCGATCCCGTTTATTAAAATGTCCCCTGCAGTGTCCGATCCCTCGGCTAATATGCAAGTTGAGTCGGGCGGGGGGCTACAGCAAGGACCCACATGGTGCAGCGCGGTTATGAGTGATCAAGTGGAAAAAAGCTATTGAAAACGAAATAATACACCTGCTTTGATAGATTTATTCTAGCGCGCTCATCACTTCACTACTTTACCTCATTCATACTTTACATCATTTACTTTACTCGTGGTTTTCGGCATTAAGTTTGCCACAAAATCCCGTCTTGAAGACTGATGAAGACTATGCCAATTACCTAATCTTCTACTCGAGTTTGTGACTTCCAAATTGGTTAGAACATTGTTGTTTATTACCTTAAACTGCTTACTTAAAAGTGTGATCCTTTATAACTTCTTCGACTTTGTTATACTTATCCATGATTTTAATAAAAATGATCGAATTTTTATAAAACAGTAAAGGCTGTTGTATTAAAACTTTGAAATATTTAAAACCCCATGCTTTCACTTGGAGATTATTTCTAGATGTAAAAACGTAAACACGCGGGTCGGTTCGATTATGATAAAACTTGAAAATATATACAATTTTAATGAAACGATCGAATTTTTAAAAAACAGTAAAAGCTGTTGTACTAAAACTTTGAAATCTTTAAAAATAATCTCCAAACAACCATCAATACAAACAACATCCATTTGTTGTGTGTTCCGATGTTATTGGTTGAAATGGGTGGTTCCTGTAGATTAAGGGAGAAAATTAAGGACCAACTACAGGGTCTCGTGGGCTGCCGTTAGTTTAGCGTATTGCCTACCTCCTTCGTCCATTGCAACTACCTGTTTTCACCATTAGGATCTCTCCATATCCCTTCTTTGTCTACTGCTTTGTCTATCAATTTCAACTGTCAGTCCGCAGGGCACGTGATTGGATATTTTAAGTAAAATCACAAGTGATATAAGCAAACGAGACAACCCAAGAGAAATGTGAGTATACAAAGGATTAAGGCAGGCCGAACGGTAGAGAAAGACTCACTCTACATGGCGCTCGTGAAATTGAGAGATAGTCAAACTGGCAGAGGGTGAAGAAATTAAGAGGGCAAACACGCGAAACAAATTGGGAGGGCAAGCAAATTTTCCGGCGCGCGAACAGTCAAGAGCACGCTCGGTTCACGCTTTGAACCTGGCTCAGGCTGTTTATGATTATTTAATTTGATCGGGTACATCACAGAAGAGGGGAGGGGCGATTGGCCTCCGCACAATGGAGCGAATTCGTCTTTGAAATTATTTTGGACTAAGAAAATTAGTTTGCGTTTTCGGTCGGATATTTGTTTATGGTCGTGCCAGAAATTCAGTCGAAATGTTAACTAGCTTTTGGCAGTAGCGTGGCGTGCTTTGCGATATATCGATTGATACGCCCCTCAAACCTATGAAAAAAGATCGATTATTAGGGTGTCCGCAACGAACACCTTAGTAATCGATTCTTTACCATAGCTTCAAATGGCGAGATATCGATAATCGATCATTCACGCCACGCCACTGGCTTTTGGCTATTGCATCGATAAAAATAAGTGGAATTCTTGTGTTACTTTTGGTTAATATAGGGAGTGAAACACAAACTAACACAAATTTTGTGTTGATTTCGGTACAGTTTGCTGTGAATTTAGCGCAGAAAACAATAGAGAGACTGGGAAAATGTATTCCTCCGATTGCTACATTTGTATTGATCAAACGTTTTATTA